ACTAATTGTGATTTTTTTAGAAAACATAAATTTTAAAATTCTAAACTCTAAAAAATCTTTTGATCTCTAAAACCCCTTAAACCCTCAAAACAAAACCCTAATACAACATAGTTAACCCAAACATAAATGATATAATGAATAAATAATTTTTTAAAWMTMWRATTTTTGTAAAGATTGTAAAAAATGACATTTTTGTAAAGTGGCACTTGAAAAGTGACATTTTTTTAAATTTCTCTTGATTGATAGATATATTATGACAGAAATAAATATCTTATAGAAAAACATTTGAAAGTTTTTAGTAATTGAAGTCTCCCATATTTATATTTTGTAGAATACATCTATTGGTATGTCATATATTCAAAGGTTGAAGGGAACTATACCTACCTCTAAAAGAGATAATAATAATTATATTTTAATTAGCAAAATAATGGATTTGTGATATTTTTAGCTCTTAATTTTATTTTATTTTATTTTGGTAAAAGATATATATATATAAACCTTGAATATCATATTGCAAACCTCAGATACATGTGTAGTTTTAAATTTTGTTTAAAAAACAAAAAATTCAAGAATAGAGTATTATGATATTAGTATGTAACTATAATTTTGAGATTAAAACACACCATTTATCGTATGCTTGATCTATCATCCCTTTGATCTAAATTATGGTGCCAACAAAAGCAAAATCTTTAAGGAGGCGAAGAACGTCGTCATTTCTTCCTCTTGAGAAAATTAAATGGGCCTAAAGCCCACATTAAATACTTAATTGTATGTACATTAAAGGCTCGAATGGAGCCGACAAAGCGAAATCTTAAAGGAGGGGAAACACGTCGTCGTTTCTTCCTCTTGCCGCCGTGTAGAGAAGAATATCCGTGTTTGAGATTAAAAATTGGCTAAAAAACCTGACATTAGTTCATAAATTGAAGGAACCATAGAAAAAAATGATTTACGGAAAGCAAATAGAAACATTAATGTTCAAAAACATTAATGTTCAAAAACATTTAGTGTAATAAAAGCTACTGCGATACTGAAATTACAATAAATAAAGGGGAGATTAGTTAGAGTAACATATATATTTTTTTTAAAAATAGTTAGAATAATTTACTTTTTTTTTTATTACTGAAATAACCTATTCTAGATTTTTGAATACCAAAATTGTCTTTCGCAGACTCTACTAAAATATTGGCAGACTCTACCGAAATATCGAAAGACTCTACCGAAATATTGGTAAACTCTACCGAGACATTGGTAGTCTTTGTCGAGATATTGGTAAACTAGCCGACTGAGATATAAGTCTACCAACACTTTAAAAGATTTTTAAAGTGTCTACTAGAAAAATGCAGATTTTGCTGAAATATTGGTAGAATTTGCCGAGGTATTGGCAGACTCTGCCAAGGTATTGGCTGACTCTGCTAAGATATTGGTATACTCTGGCGAGGTATTGGCCGACTCTGCCGAGATATTGGTAGATTCTGTTAAGATATTGGCAGACTCTACCGAAACATTGGTAGACTCTACCGATGTATTGGCAGACTCTGCCAATATCTAAAAATATGCAGACTCTGCAGAAACATTGGCAGACTCTGCCAAAATATTGGTAGACTCTGCTGAAATATTGGTAGACTCTGCCGAGATTTTAGCAGTCTGCCAATATCTAGAAAACCGCAGAATCTGCCAAAATATTAGTAGACTCTATCGAGATATTGGCAGACACTGCCAAAAAAACGCAGATTCTGCCGAGATATTGACAAACTCTACTAAAAAGCGCAGACTCTATCCAGGTATTGGCAGACTATAACGAAGCATTGGCAGACTCTACAAAAAAAAATGTAGAATTTGCACACAAAAAGGTCATAATCAGCGAAGACATTAACAAATTTTGGA